ATTCTCCTGTCTCAGCCTCCTGAGCCTCTAGGTTTATAGGCGTGTGCCACTGCACCCCGTGATCTTCCTGTTTTTTAATGTGGGCACTTCATGCCATAACCTTCCCTCTAAGCCTCATCACCATAGTGTCCCCGAGATTGTCGTGAGCTGTACCACTGAGGAACAGTGAGAAGGGGCCACAGGGTTCTCAGCCTCAGTGGGGCATGAGGTCAGCCAAGGCCACACAGTGCTCTCCTGAGAAGACAGTGCAGGGCCCAGGGGGTCCCCATGACCCCAGCTGGTCCTTCCTCTGCCCTCATAATTCGTAGGAGCTCCTGATTCTGGGCCATTGCCACCAGCCAGAGCTTCAGAGAGATGATCTGCTGTGGAATTCCCTCTCAGGGTGCAGAAGGACCAACACCCAGCTGGGCTTAAAGGGCCACTGTGACCTGTCCAGCCCTCAGGGACCCTCTGTCCTGCCCACAGGCCACACCATCCAGGCGACCCTGTGGGACCTCATTAGGTGGGCGTGGCTGGCGGGTCCTGTGCCCCCATCAGCTGCCAAGGTGGAAACTCAGGAAGGGGTGGCCCTGCTGTCACATGAGCAGGACCTTGGAGAGTCTGAGCACAGGAGGCGAGACGCCCTGAGGAAGGGGACAGCCAGCTGCAGCCACGTCCTGGGTGAGGTCGGCCTGGGGACTCCACAGCAGCCCCCTCTGCAGTGCTGCTCAGAGATGGTGCAGGACAGAGAGGGCCTCACACCTGAGGAGGACACCACCTTGGAGATCCTGTTCCCCTCATTGGGATTCTCAGAGAAAACCCCTGACCCAGGCTGGTCCCCTGCAGCACCCAGCTCTGCCCAAAGGCCTGGGCTCCTGCTGGGAGCTTCTCCCTGCAGCCCCCACCTGGCCCTTGGCCTCTGTGATGGTCCCAGGCCCACTCCAGCCTCCTGTCCACCCAATGCCCAGCTGGCTGCCTGAAGGTGGCCCAGGATTTCCTCCCAAGGAAGGAAACACATTTTCTCTACAGTTTTGTACCAAAGAATGAAAATGACATTTTCCTACATGGCTACAAATTAATGTGAATTGTCATGGATGCTCCTCGTCCAGGAACATTTTCCTTATGACACCCCTCCCCAGTGTGGACAGCTGAAGGCTCTGCCCACCACCTGCCAGGTCCTCCCACAGCACATGGCCGAGAGGAGGAAGGGGGACACGGGCCATCACTGGGGACCAGGAAACCCTAGAGGGGAGACAGGAGGCCTTGCCAGACCCAGCAGCTGCCCCGTCCTACCTCTGCCCCCTCTAGGGGATGATGCTCATCTCAGCCCAGGAAGAGAAAGGGGGTGAGCAATGGCCACGGTATGAGGCCTCACGCAGCTTCTCTCACACCCCAGAGATGCCTGACCTGGCTCATGCTTCCCTCCTGGTGCTGGGTGGGGTCCAGGCCTCCCCACTGCCCCTCCCCAGCCCTCCTTAATATAACCGTCCATGGAGAAAGTGAAGGAGCAACCACGCTGAGGCCTGTCCACTCTGGGAGAAACCAAGGTCATGGTGAAGATTCCTGGGGACTTATTTATAGTTAATGACACATAAATATTTATCATATCTGGGGCACACAATTTGTCATGTTGGGATATGTCTACACTGTGACATGAGCTCCACACTGAGCTCACGGACATACCCAGCTGCCCCACAGCTACCGTTCTCCCTTGTTCCTTCTCATGGTGAGAGCACTATAGATCCACCCTCTGCAAATCTCACCTGCACATCACAGCTGTGTGCCCTCCAGTCCCCAGGGCTGGGGTGGTGACTCAGGAGATGACAATCGGGGTTCCCAGTGTGGTTCTGCAGGACGCAGGACTTCTGGAGGTCAGCGGGTGCCTTGGTGACCACAGCTCACAGGGCCTTCAGGTTCCACTTGGTTCTCGAGGTGTGTCTTTGTTGGGTTGGGGGTGGACACCAGGACCTGGGCACGGGGAGCGGTCACCCAGCCCCACCCAGTGGGACAGCAGCTGGTCTCTGCCCTTCACACTGTATCTGCTGATGGTTTGCTTGTTGTTGAGGCAGGACTCTTGTGCTGCCCACACTGGCCTCCTGGACTCAAGACATCCCTAGGCTCCTGAGCCTCCGAGCAGCTGGGCCCTCAGGAGCCCAAAGTCTCACTAGGCCCCACAGGGCTTTGAAGGGGGAGCTCCTCCCTCTCTGTGCTGTCCACGTCCTCCTCTGAGATAAGGGACTGTGGGAGGAGTCGGCCACTGGGCACCAGGAGCAGCAGGTTTGGTGGGAGGTGAAGTGCCCTCCACCCCTGTCACAAGGGCCCCACCCAGGACCATGCCTGTGCCCACGGCCTTCTGCAGAGGGCTCCTCCCTCCAGGCTTAGGGCCCCCTCAGCACTGAGCAGAGTTCGACTCTGCAGCGTCTCCAGAAAGAAACAGGGGACGCACCACCATGAAGCACCTGTGACACGGAGAGAAATTGCTCAGAGCTGATGCCGACAAATAGGTACCATGGTCTCTGAGCTCTAGGTGCACCTGAGTCTCTCAAAGACGACACAGCAATTCAGCACCAAAACCTGAAAAGTACTGTGAATTAGAAGAGGATGTTCTACTCATTTCAATTATAGTAGGACAAGGAGGAGATGGAAGGAAACTAGTGAAGACTTTATAGAGACCAGGAAGGCTCAGGGGCCCAGGGATTTAATTCCAGTGACTCTGGAGGCCAAGGCAGGAGGATGGCAAGTTGAAGGCCACCTGGGGAACTTAGGAACCCCATGACTCAACATAAAAACTTAAAGGACTGGACAGGACGTAGCTCATGGGACAGGCCTGTAGAGCACCCCCAGGGCCTGGGTCCACCTTCAGGGCCGCAAAGGACTCAGAACAAACAAACAAAAGATATCAAAGGAATGAGAGGACATGAAGGTCAAGAAGGCAGAGTCACTTGAACAGGGACGTGCTCCCAGGTTATGGGAAAGGGAAGAACCTGTGACAGTGAACGCCCAGGATGCAAAGCAGGTCAAGAACCCCCACCTCTGCTGACCTGGACACCTTGTGGGACAGGACAGGAGCAGGAGCACAGAGCACCCAGGGACCCGTTCATGCTCCATAGGAGCACCCTCATCACCTTGGGCTGAGGCAGGGAATCCATTGATCCCACAGACCAAGAGAGGTGCTGAGACATATTGAAATGTCTCCTTGGACATAAGTGGCCACGTGGAGCCTGCAGTGTGCACACAGAGGCAGGCAGCAGGAGGGGGAACAGGGCCTTGCAGGGCTGGGGTTGCACCCAGGCCTCCTCTGCAGCTGCCCACCCCCAGCCATGGCGGGGAGAGAGCTGGTCACCTTGCTGTGGGGAGGACGCAGCAAACCTGCAGGGTGTGAGGGTCCTGTGACCACATCCTGCTCATTGCTCAGCTCCTCCATCCTGCCCCCAATGTGGCCCCAATTCACCCACCTCCTGTCCCTGCTGTGCCCTGGAAGGGGAGGCAGCAGAGGACATGGTGGAAAGTCCCTCCTGAAGACACTGGGCCTCCAGAGCCCAGGCTGGAGG